CTCCATCCTACTGGTAGAATTATAGGCATGAGCCACTACATCCAGCCTTTTTTTATGTTTCACAATGAAATCATGGCCAGAATTATGAACCATGAATGAAAGACCAATGATGTAAATATATTTATAAATTGAAGATTATTGGGTTCTCCAAAAGTACCAATAAAGTAATAGTTCTTGTCTCAGAAAGGAATTTCACCTAAGATGTCATGACAACTAAGAAAATACCTCGTTTGTGATCTCCGTGAGAAGCAGATCCGTCCTTTATCTAAAAAGCACTGTTAGAGACTAAGGTATTTTTATGATTATCACGATATCATCCAAAAATGACTAGAATGTGGTGCCTAATGTGCGGGGAATTGTAGGATTTCCTGTACTAAGACATGCAGGCAAAGGCCTGGCTCCTGACCCAAGAGACATGGGCGCCCCTGGCAATTGAGCTACAGAGCCAATCAGTACAAAATGGCACGAGATTTGAAACACTACAAATAGAGACTCTCTTCTCATGATCGGATACGGCTTTTTCCACTTTGCACATCATGTGAAGACATTTCTTAACAGTGCCAACCTGACAGCAGAGAAACTAAAGCCCTTTTGAGCCATTAGCACACTGCCCAAGGTGGGCAGATGTGGCCACCCATAGCTCTAGGCCACCTACAGAAAGGAGGGGACATTACACTTCCCAGATGGGCAGAGATGAAGGAAAGAAAGGAGGGAGGGAGGAATGGAAAGAAGGAGGGAGGGAGACTGGCCATGGCCTTAAGACTTGCATCCAGAAGTCATTCAATAAGACCCTATTTCTTCCTGAATAGTCAGGGGTTACTACCAATAGATCACTCACTATGGCACTGAGTTTTAACTAGAGCACTGAAGGGTATAAGTGCTAGGAATTCCCACAGGAAGGGGGCACAAGGGAACCCAAGCCTTCACATAAGGGTTTACTATAATTAAATTACCTGAGAGGATGGAATGCTATTACCCTGGGAAGGGCACTCAACCCTCTCCCAAGTGGCGAGGGGGCTGGGCACAGACCCTGCCCTTCCCCATGTGCCAAGTTGGCTCACTGTGGTATAGCTACCTACCAGACAGGAGACCAGATGACTGGCCTCAGGAACAAGACCTGCTGTGGACTCAGGGTAAGAGCCTGGCCTCTCGATGGCCCTCCAGCCACCCTGTCACCATAGCCCTCTTCAAGGAAGGCTCAGGCTTGCTCTCCTAGGCAGGAGGCTACGAGGGAGTGTACACACCATGGGCCTGGGGAACTCTTCCATGATTGTGTCCATCAGCTTCCTCTGACTTTGCAGCTACATGTATTAATGTTGCTACAGGTACTGGAACCTGTGAGTCTTGATCTGTGTCCCAGCGGCTCTGTTGACCACAGCCAGGACAGGCCTGGATCTGACCTCACTCCAGAAGCTGTGTGTCACTCAACAGCTCAAGGCTTCCCTTCCCAGGACAGGGACCATGCTTGCTTTCTCCGTTCTTCCAGATCAGACTGACTACTCTTGGCTTACTTGTTTCAGGAGCACAAGCTCCTTCTTGGGACACTGTGGGGTCAGAATACAGTGGTCGTTTTACATAAATAAGCGTTTCCACAGCTAAAAGACTGGGAGACTTCCTGAACAATCTCCAGCCCACCAAAATATAACTGGTTGACTTCCAAGCATACAGAAGGATTCCTGTGCTTGAGAAAATCAAGTTATCAAGGAAAAGAAGGGCTTCGTTCCATGACTGAGCCAGCACTCACACTGTAGTGAGTTTAATCAGACAGCATTCCCACACACATCTCTAGAGGACACAAAGCTGTTGTGTACAACGCCAAACTAATTACCTAAGAGAAAACATCTGAGGCCAGGAGTGGTCTTGCAGGAAATGGAAAAATAAACAAGACAAACGGGACCCTGAAGCCCAGTGGGAGACCACAAAGTTCCACAGCTTGGTGTTGCATTGATTATTTAATAATGCGATTACACAGCAGTGATCGATTGCATTAAAACCCATTGAGAACATCTTGAGACTATAAGACATTCTGTCCATTAACTGCAGCTCCACAGAGAGCAGGACTCAGCCAGAAGAGAGTTGGTAATTAGGCTGGAGAGATTCCAGCTCACCCAGGGCACTATCAGGTTTTGAATAAATAACATTGTCCAAGTATTCCTCAAAGGGATGCCTAGAAAACAAAGATTTCTACATTTCCCAGGCTTTGATGCTGTCCTGGTTAGGTAACATTAGCTCTCTTGGAGCTATGTGCCTCCCCTTTTCTAAGTGAATTTAATTTACAGACATTTCAGTTCCATGAGAACTGAGGCAAGCTGGGATTACAAGTGGCAGCCTCACGTTTTGTGACGGCAAGCCCTTCACCCCCTCAGCCTTCACACTTGACAAGCACTGTCACAGTGCAGGAGTGAGAGGCTGGGGGCTGGGGAAAAGGCCGAAGGCATGAGGGGACAGAAACCTGCACTCAGGACTTTTATTGATTGATTGATTGATTGATTGTACTGAGATTCCCCAGTAGCCTGTTTTGCTCTAGGTCATTTTCAAATAGGATCTCCACAGGTATGTGTGAGCCAAAATGAACCTTGATCCTCCTAGTTAAACCTCCCATTTAGCTTAGAAGACTGACACACACAACCACACCCAGGTTTCTAAGACAAGAGACGGATGTTTCCATTTATCTCGACACTGGGAAGAAGGCCCTTTGTCCCTCTCCATACCAGTGAGTCACTTGATTGCTACCTGAAAAGTCCTGGCACCTCCATTTTTGTCACGGTGACACAGCATCAAAGGAGTTAGCAAATAACGAGGGTCAGGGGTCTCACTCCATTCACAAGTTAGTGTCTTACACTAGTATTGAGCATGGACTCATGCAAAGCTTACAAAGGCTCTGGCTTGACATGTTCCTTATGGAAAAAGAAATGGAGACAGCACAGTGTTGAGGAATGGGTTGGGCCAGGATGTGCCCTGGAAGGGCTAGGCTAGGTCTTCTAGGTTCTGGTGGGGACCAGCACTTGCCACACCCACGGTGACTGAGAAAGGAAATGAGCATAGCACACACTCCACCATCAGCAGCAGCTGACGCCCCGGGACTCGCCAGGCACAGACTCCCGAAGACCTTTCACCATTCCATGTGCAGGTGCTCGGTTCTACAGGCAGCAACTGAGACTGTGTGGAAAGCCAAGCCCCAGTATGTCCACCTAGTTACCTTTGATGGGCTATAAAGGTAATTTCACAGATGTGTGCTCAATAGGAGAATTTTAAGGGGCCCTTCCAGGATACAGAAAAAGAGGGGACAAGGCAAGTGGGTAGATAGAGCATTTCCCACTCCTAGAAGGGAGACCCTAATGCCTGTCTCCCCAACTATGTAATATGAGAGAGAACCAGGCTACCAGAGGCTTCTGTTCCCATTTGTTGCCATGCCTTGAGTCTTAAGGATTTCTATGTTAGTTCACTGTGCTCATGTGTATAACCCAAGTTAGATTCTTTTTAACTTTTGTAATATGAGAAATACCTGCCTCTCCTTCTTAACAATTCTTTAAAATGCCCACTTGTGACTGACTAGCTAGAGAAAAATCCCAAAAGGGAAGGGACAGGACACAGGATGAACTTTAGTTGATCAGAAAAATCGTCAGACTGTTCTCATCCACTTCCTTCATTCAGAAACTACCAAGTCAGACCTGTGCCACCAACTGTCAGGTACTGCTTTTAGAACAGTAATGCATTTCAGCAAGTAGCTGAAAACAAACAAAACAAACAAACAAAACAACATTGTATGCAGCAGAATTTGCTAAATCCCACAGGTAGGGGTGTGTGTGTGTGTGTGTGTGTGTGTGTGTGTGTGTGTGTGTGTGTGTGTGTGTGTGTGTGTGTGTGTGTGTGAATAGGGGTGTGTGTGTGTGAATAGGGGTGTGTGTGTGTGTGTGTGTGTGTGTGTGTGTGTGTGTGTGTGAATAAGACCTGAAGGAGGAGTTTGTACACAGGATGATAGCCCCTCTGGCACAAAGGAGGGGTGACTCCACAGCAGACCTGCAGTGCAGGGCTGTGGTACAGGCTGTCCAAGGCCCAGAGCTCCCTCCCCGCACACCTGGTTTCCATGGTGACTCACTCAGCATCCAGACACAGCTTAAAACCTGGTAGGTAAAAACCAGACAGGCACCCCCTCAAGCCAACTGAAATGCCAAAGGCACAACCTGCCTGCCAGAGAAACTATCCTTATCTAGAGATCTGTGATTCTTGAATAAGAAGACAGCTTACTCCAAGACCAGATAGTACATTTGGGAAATAATAAGTACTTACCATTTTTATAAGTAAATCTAGACAAGCAAGAAACCTGCAACTAAATTCCAATCATCTGGAAAATGATTTCAATGAAATGAAAAAAAATCCAATACTAATTTGAAGATAGTAAGTCCTCATGTTGAATAGAAACCTTTTTCTCCTTTTTTCAGAAAAAAAAAAAAACGCTGAATTTATGTATCTGTTATATCTAAAAAGATGATTAAATCAAAAGGTTTTTCAGCCAGTGTACTTGCTCCCAAGCAGGAAGTGTCCCATTCAGGAGGGCTGTACAAGACCTCGGGAGCACTTAGGACACAAGGGACAGACACAAATGTGTCCCTCAGCTGCCTGGCTATACTATTTTCTAAGGCCCGTGAAGATGTTATAAATATCCACATAGCTTGTGGTAGAAAAAAAAAAGGTTCCCTACGCTTGAAGAGTTAAAAAAAAAAAAATAGAAAAGAATCCATACCCTTTTAGTCTTACACTCCTTGCTACTAATTATCATATTCTCTAGAGACTCACTATTAAATAAGAGTATTATTCAGAGTAATGCGAAGTCTGGTTTTGTTTCATTTGTATTGCTGTGGGGGGGGGGCAGGAATTATTCAAACTGCATTGAGGCTCTACATAAATGGTGGATTGTTAATTCTGACGCATGAGTGCTTAATGATGGATGTCGTGAAGGCAATTCGGAAGGAATTGGTACTTAAGGTCTGGCTGCTCACCTTTTGTCCCTTCACTCCTTGGCAGTCACACTTGCCACAGCCGGAGCCAGCACAGCCACCCTGCAAGCAAAGAGAACACATGTAAATAGGAGGATACTTAAACTGTGGTCAACATCTGCTTTCATGGGACCTCACCATGTTCATGTGGACATGGACAAGGGATGCGTGTTTCCATGGGAACAACCCACAATGCCAGATACCCACAGCTCACTCAATGGGACCAACACACACTGTCTATATGCGTCCCTCTTGCCAAACAGACAATCCTCAAGAACAAGTCAAAAGTCCAGAAAGTGAAGGACAGCATCTATACAAGTTGCTCTTGGTCAGTTTCTATTGGCAGTAGATTCATTCAGGTATTAACAGTACTTGTAAGACTATGAACATGTCATGCTTCTGACTTAGGAGCTTCAGACCTAAGACCATGGGAGACCAGGTTCCCCAATGTGAACTCTATGCTGCATCGTACAAGTTCCAAGGGACTTCTGCTCAGGCAAAAAAAAAAAACCCAAAACATTGCACAGAGACAGAATAAGGTGAATGAGCAAGATTTTTAGGGCCAAGTCTTGAAGAATTAAAGTTGGAAGATTCATTGAAAGGGCATTGAGCAACAAAATGTCCTTGTAGTTTGTTCATTTCTTATATAAAAGATAATGTTAAAATATGAGAAGAAGCAACCATGTAATAAGAACTGAAGAGAAAAGGAGCCCACGTGTCTGCTGTCATTGTATTTAAAGGGTGCATCAATTCCTCCCGAGCAGGCTCTACTATCCCCATTCCCCTGGTGTAGAAACTCGGTTAGGCATGCTAGGACAAGACTGCAACCAGAACCCAACTCATCTTTTCTCATTAAACATAAGACAGTACACACATCCTTAGAAAAATCTAAGTTTAAAACCATAACAGACATGGACATACTGTGGAGAGGAAGTGCAGGGTGTGACATGAGCAATAGTGGCTAGGCTTTATTAGATACTCTTTTATGTCTAAAATTTATATCCATATTCTGCTTCTGGTGATAAAAAAAATTCTTGAAAAGAAAATTATGCTATTAATAGCACATGGTTCTCACGAAGCCTATATTTTCACCACACACTCGGCCAGGGTGCCATTACCATGGAAACCTTCTGCATCAAACAATTACATCTGGAGATACTTATTGTACAAAGTTAAATCTGTTACAAGTACCTTTGGGACAGTAAGCTGTTCTTAATTTTGTACTTTGGAAATGGGGCAGCTGACAGTAGGCCAGGCCAAGTCAAGACCAGGGATGTGCTTCCTTCTCTGACTCAGAGGCGATGTCAGTCTCTATTCCCATAACTCCTGACATTTTAAGTCATTCCATGTGCTTTGCTTTGCTCGGGAATCTGGGTCACTCCAAGATGAGTTCAAAATCCTTTTGTGGCTGGGCACTGATGGTTCACGCCTGTCATCCTAGCTACTCAGGAGGCTGAGATCTGAGGATCACAGTTCAAAGCCAGCCCAGGCACCAAAGTCTGTAAGACTCTTATGTCTAACGAACCATTAGAAGATCAGAAGTGGCGCTGTGCCTCAAAGTGGTAGCATTGTGCGAAAAAAGGTTAGGGACAGCACCCAAGTGCTGAGTTCCAATCCCATGACCAAACCAAAAAAAAAAAAAAAAAAAAAAAAAAATCCTTCTGTGCTACAGATTAATCATCCAAAATGTATGAAAGACTTCAAGAGATGCACCTGACTGGGTTGTCCCATCCCTGGCCTGGTCCCATGACATGTTGACCCAGATCCTCCACTGGGTGTGTGATATAACACAGACTCTCACAGTGTGTCCTGTCACTCAGGGCACCCTGAGCCTTCCACGGCAGCCCAAAGCCTAGCAGGGAGCCTGATTCAGGCTATATTTCATCAAAGACAACATAGATTGTGAAACCCACTCTAAGAAAGAAATTAAATACTGATGCCTTGCTGTTAAATCGGTTACAGAGTTGTTAAACCATGGCCAGATGGGCATCTTAGCATCAATGAGGGGAATGATCCCTGGTTGCTGTTGCTTTCTCAGTCTAGTGGTGGTGCCATTCATTCCACTTCAAGTGACAAGTACAGGCAACAATCCCACAGACGGAAAACACCGCTCAGTGCCAGTGAACACCAAGCCAAAGTGGGCCCTGGCTCTTCCTGACCACCTGAGCAGCCAGGAGCTGTGTGGCAAATGTCCAGGTTAATCACTCATTCATAACCAGGGTATTGCCCAGATCAGAAAAGCCCTTACAGTGAGGCAGTACCAAGTCACTCCAGGGCTCAGCAGCAGCCTCTGAGTGAGGGAGATTATATCACTTCCACGGGGCAAATGCACCAAGACTTCACTCCTTCAACCCTCCTAAGCTTTCTCCCATCCCACAGCACCTCAGGAGACTCTATTGTCTTCAGAGTCTACGTAGGAAACATTACCAAATACCCACACTTTGGCTACAGCAACTCAACTAGAGCCTGAAGCAGCAGGATTCTCTACTTCAAAGTCGATGACAATTTCTATGAAACCTCAGGCTTGCAGAAAGCGGAAGGAGTGAAGCTACAGTGGCTACGTGATGGTTCTGGGCTTTTCTCTTAAGTGTTGACACATCTCAGAAGCTACCAATTTGAGGTAAGTTATGGAAGTGAATTTCCACAGCTGTCCGAGGAGAAATGCAAGACCATGGACTGGGAGCTCTAAGCCATGATGGCACACTGGGATCAAGCTGAGCTTCTGTTACAGAAATACTGGCAGGTAGTTGGGTGTGGTGGCTCAAGCCTATAATCCTGGCTACTTGAGAGGCAGAGATTAAAAGTTTGGGGCTAGCTCAGACATGAAAGTTTGTAACACGATTTCACTCAAAAGCCACACATGGTGGCATGGTCTCATCTTCCCTAGCAATATTGGAAAGCACAAGTAGGAGGATTGCTGTCTAGGCCCGTCTAGCCATAAACTCAGACCTTATCTCAAAAATAACATGCAAAAAGAAGGGGCTGGCGGCAAAGTGAATGCCTAGCAAGTACAAAGCCATAGTACAGCTTCCCTGGAAAAAGAAAAGAAATACTGACATATGTGGTGGATAAAGGGGTAGCTTTGCCTAAGCCAAATACTCTGCAGGTCACAGAAATCATTCAGGAAAACTTGAAGTAAGAAAGAAAGAACAAAGGCCTTCCTCGCCAGCCTGTACTGTGTTAATACAGAAATTCAACTCTCAGGCCAAGTATCTGTATAGTCGGAAATATATTCATGGAGGAAATCTTGGTGTGTATTATTCATATAGGAAATTTTGTCACATATTCTGGGCCCAGGAGGCAACTCCAAAGAACCAGTAATTCCAAAACTATCTAAAGATGGTTAGCTTTGTGGGGAGAATGGTATCCTTTTGTTAGAGGAGGTTTGTTTTGTTTTGTTTGGGGTTGGCTGGTTTATTTTGCGTAGACACTTGCAATGTAGCCCAGGCTGATCTTGAGCTTGTTGCATAATCCAGCCTCTATCAACATACACCTCCATGCCTTGCAAAAACTGCTTTCAAGACCATGACTTTTGTGACACATCCTCAAAGGCCAAGATCTTATGCAAATGGATTTAGTTAAAAACAAAATGAATTTTTAGAATAACATATCCTAAGATGCATGTTTACTCTGCCTCTTGAACACCATCAATTTGGCAACACCATTACTCTGATTCCTCACTGTTTCCAGCTTACAATAGCTATTGCTGGGTTTTACCCTGATTTATGGGGGTATCTTTACCTGCAATTCAAGGGCTCACTACTGAAAAGATCACTTTGAAATTAGACACATGCTGTGTGCTTTTGCAATATCTTACTAAACAAAAAACCTTACCCCATGCATATTGTTGTAAGATGCTGTGCATTAAAGGAACCACCACCACTACAGAATACACAAGATTCCTAGCTCTCTCCTCCATATCCAGGCTTCTCAGCCAAATCCTAAGGCATGTGCAATTTGTGGGCTCTGGCCAGCCCGGTAGCTCCAGCTCTGAGGGAGCTGTTCCCTACATCTGCAGTTAGTAGTTAGGCCATCCATGAGCTCCTTTCCCTCTGTTTCAGATTCTAGAGCCAGAGCAATGCTGGAACATTCTGTGAGAAGCATGTTCCCTTTGCCCTGCCCTCACCCCATGGAGTCTCGGGTCAATGAGATCAGCTGCAAGGCCTGTGCTTTCTTCCCATGAGATGCACACTCACCCCAATGGTCCCCAGCTAGCGGAAGTCAGGCAGGAAGCTCAGCCCACTTGGGAGCCCAAGAATGTGGCCACTAGCTCTCAAAGGCCAGGCAAAAAGTGGACCATGGTCATTCTCACAGGAGTTGACCACCTGTGGACAAGACAAATGGGGGACCCAGGAGGAGGAGAAAAAGAGAACCCCAGAAGGCTCTCAGAGGTAATGCCATCATTCCCGACCTAGATCTGTGGGGGAAATTAGTGAAATTAGACTGAAAAGGTCATTTTTGAAATCCTATGAACCTCTTCTAGCAGCTATTTTATCACAAAAGTATGGAAGGCTGCCTTAAAATGATGGCAAATTGAATTAACTAAAGTTGAAACAGAAAAAGAAAAACATGCATCCATTCCCAATGTTCTCTATCAGCCATGCACACGTGCACATGTGCACACACACACACACACAATAGCAGGGACCAACTTTAAACAAACAAAAAAAAAAACCCACAATTTGAAAGGAATGCAAGGCACTCCAAAGTAATCCCTAAGCCAAATACCTTTAATATTCTCTGAGCATCCCTGTAAACCTTTCAGGACAGGTTAAAGCCATTTATATTGGTAGAAGTTTTTACCATGCCCTCATGATCATTTCCAGAGCAGCATAAAGGTATAAAGTACGTTAAGTTCTAAAAATACATGATGACTACAATGCACAGTGCTTCTGCTGAAGAGGGAAGGGCAGGGATGGAGTCTGTGCCTGTAAGTGAAGCGAAGTCTATTTCCAGTTGTCTCTGTCTAGAGACATCTGCGTGAAAGCAGGTCCTAGGCAAGAGGGCACAAGATGAGAAAGGCCGGCTTGCTGTGCGGCCCTGGCTGTTTAGTTCACCGAAGA